ATGATCACAATAAGGCTTGACAAAGATGAGAGGTGATGAACCAACTTCACCCGCGGTCATTCCTCTCATCCTTCTCAGAAGATAGACAACTATCCTATAAAAGTTGTTGACTTCCGAAATTTCATTCGAATCAGAAACTTGGTCCACGCGGATAAGGAAGTTTCAGACAAAGCAATGCGTTTTTTTCTTAAAAAAGTATTATGGTGTTCGTCGCGGAAGTGGATGAAGAATACTTGTTCATTTTACTGAATTTGGTTAAACAACTTCAGATTGTTGATTTCGTGATTTTTTTGAATTATCAGGGTGAACCGATTTGCCCTACCCACTCTGCACATGTTAAATCTTTTCTGAACATATAGGGAAAAATACTGCCAGTCTGTCTATAGTTCCAGAATATATCGGTCGATTTATTTTCGTCTTGAAGTCGTCAAGTTTGGATCTCCGACAGTTCAACCCATTAAATTCCCTGCAGCCTGCTATTTTCTTTATAAGAGGTAGTGTAAGAGACTCAATTTGTTGTTAGTTGATCTGACTGACTTACAAACATTTCATCACCGTTTTAAGGTACTTTATCAATGTGCAGTCCAGTGGGTAAAACTCCCGGGGTGCGAAATGCTCATCGAACCACAGATCGATGGTGAATATATAAGCTAGGTTAGGAATGAAGTAGCCTGTGTTGCCTAAAAAGTCTCTATAACTCTCGGAAATGTTTACGACCAGGTTGTGAACAACAGGACGCTTTTTGCGATGGATATGCGACAGTTTCTTGAAGGTGGTCAGTCGCACGAAATACGTGATTCTCATGACAAAACCTCTACGGAGAAATGATCCAAACATTTTCAAGCATAAAAAATAGATGCAGTACAGCACAGCTGATTGAACGCTCGATCAATATTTCGGAGGCATAGATGAACACATAATGGAAACTTTTTAACCTACTCTGCTCGGCATATATACATTGCAGGGCTTAGTGGTGGTAGAAAGTTTATCCTCCCACAGATATGCAGTACACCGACACGATGAAAGATTACCCCATCTTTGACCGAAACAGCAGGTATCTGGCAGTCTGTAATGTGGTCTTCAATTATTATCTCGATGTCGCACAATGCTCAAAAGGTTGCTGGAAATTCCTCGACGGCCCACTACCGGTTCCGGTCTTCTTACGGTTCACCGGGTAGACGCAGTCCCCGAGTTTCCGTCAAACTTCCGTTAGCCTAACTAGGCTCTGTTAACCTCCTGTTTCGATGAAAAGCTGCATTAATCGCCCCCTATCAACGCTACCAAAGACGTCAGGGTAGTCAATGCATTAGTCTTTGTGTGCAGCGCTGAAATGATTAAGTAACTGAGGCATGCAGCAGCGTCCACCGTAGAGCGAGTGACATTGTGCAAGTTGGTGCGTGTCTTGGCACAACAGCATTCTCCGGAACTCGTTCGAGCCGTCTGAGGAAAGCACAGGTACAAACGATGTCATCTTGGCCAACTGCCAATAGCTGTGAATTTCTCTAGTAGAAAGACAGTAAACAGAAGAGGTGGTGGGCCATTGAGGATGTTAACAAGCCTTTTGAGAATGAAGCTGGATAGAAGGTCACAGTCACAAGCTTTGTCTGAGTTCACTTACCATGACTGCAAAATCATTTGCGGCGAAGAATGCGATGGATGGGCTTGATAGGCTAAGTCAAGTTCAAGACTAGGAGAACACAGCTTTGGTTCTTCGTGGGACAGGACGGTCGCATTTCAGCGAATCTTTTGACGCAAGTTATCTTGATGTGGTTGATTTCCAGTCTGACTGCTGCTGTAAGCTTCCTGACTTCTGTTAATATCGGTATTCCCAACAGAGCAAAATAGGTCAAAGTAGATGACGATAGGGTTGAAGAGAGAAGAATCAATGACAGAAGCAATTGCCCTATGCACGATGCTAACTGGTGGAAAGCACTTTCCTTATAGCTTTTGTTTACTTCTCCGTGCATTAAACCTATAGTTATTCATGGACTACGCATTTGGGCACACACAAAGTACGATTATCAAAGATCCAAGTGGAGCTCATTCCTGAACAGTGAGGATATTGGCTCTGTTTACAGATCAGTATATTTGGGCCTCACGTGTGAGAAAGTCCAAAAGGAGTCGAGTGGAAACAATCGGACTTCATCAGTTCGCCAGTAACAACACAAAAAGATCAATCAAAATAACTTATAATGGACACGGAGCGGTATTTAACAAATTCGGATGGTTCTAATACTGGTGCAATGTATAATTTTATAGAGGTAATCAAATAGTTCTGTGTCGTAATCGGGACTTGCAATCCGAAGTTGAGCAACTGATGCATCTTATAGAATATTTGTGTAGGACAAACGTGGGACGACATCAAACTCTTTTGACGCGCAAGACGGCACCATCCCTTGCCAAGGCTGACAGAGGGATGAACGCGAAGCAAGTCAACCATCCACCTCAATCCAGTTTTCTTGGAACATCATAGCTCTATTACTTCTGTAATATTTCCGAAGAGGAATTTCCCACAGGTTTTCGATCCGTTCTGGTACCGAACAAATGTTACTGGAGATCCCCTCAAGGACTTGCATTTTTGGACAATTCGGTCAGTAAGGATGATCTTAATCGGTCCAAAATTCTTGACAAATGCAGGTTCCAGACGAAGTATTACAAACAGACTGAGTTCCTCCTTGAAAAAAAGATCTACATAAATATGTGGTAGGTTAGTACGGGGACTCTGAAACGGAAGGATAAGCTTTAGATTTGTAGAGCGTAGGTTCCAAAGCTGGACACCAGGGCTGTGCCACTCGTAGTGCATATAGTGGAACACATGAATATACGTAGATAAGAGTGTCGACTGCGTAGCTGTGCTTTGCGTATGGATGGTCTTGTTGTCTAAATGAATTTGTACCGTTTCTGCAGGTTACAAAGCGATGGCCGAAGATGCAATAAAGTACGCGCTTCCAACATGCCTTACCAGTTTTATAACGGTTTCAGAGTGGACAGTTGAGAAAACTCTTCAGTAAGAAGCTGGAATGACAAACACAAATATTTTCGTGACTAGCTGAAAAGATGTTCGGCAATTCCAAGATGAGCCTGAAGCATTTAAATTGAAACTGTGAAAGTAACCAGTGAAGTTTACAGTTGGATCGGTGTCGAAAATATCTGGTGAGGCAATTGTAGCAGGTGCGTTGGACCTTAAAGTGGTTCGTCCAACCGCTTGGGAATTTAGTGGTACATCTATGACCTTGTCAAAGTAGTTCAATACACTTTTGCATCCTATCATTATGTACAAAGTTATATCGACACTGGCAACTATCAAGCGGAATCAGCAGGTAGAGTGGAGATGAGATGTATACTAACGGAGAAGCTGAAAGACGATAGCGGCCAGAGATTTTCAGTTGACTGTTGAAACCAGTAAGTGGGATGACCGTCAAGACCAGTTTAAGCAAGCCACGGCCGATGCAGCAAAAGAATAATCATGCTGACACAGCTCGTGCTTATATGAGAGTCAGGGTATTACCAATGTTTCCGTGCATGAACATGACCGAAGAGTTCTGTTCAGATGCCTAACCGCAGGGCAACAGTTTTCGACAGAAGATTAATGGAGGCTGCCACAGAAGTTCTGCCTCCAACCCGAAGGTTCCAGACGTGGAAAAGCGACTCGCATGGGTTATCGTTTCCTGAACTATCTTAGTGAGATGTCCCAATAAAATACACCAACCGTTGGGTCGTTGGACTAGCCTTTTAGGGTGTAATTTACGCAAGATTTGTTAACTCAACCGTGATGTTCAGTCACACCAAACACTGAAGTTTTTTTCCCTACGTTGCATTTCAGTATTTGTGTGGGATGACGTTTTGGATATCGGTAACCGCTAGGATAAAACGATACGACCGGCCTAACTCCAGCGTTCTAATCGGCATGTTAGTAGCAAAAACTAAGCTGAAAATATCAAGGCTAACAGAGGCGATTGTTTCGTCCAAATATTTGTCTTGAAACAACTATGCACTAAGTTCCACTGAAGGCATCGTTCACAAGACAATTAAAAAAACGAGCGGATTCAGAAGTCATTGAACAAAGTTTCGCCATGTACATGCAATCCTACAGCAGTCAGTGAAAATTTTATTTGTCTTCCTGAATTACACCAGAATCTAAGTTGCGCATATGCCAAACTACGTTATACTTAGTCAGCTTTCTGAAACACCTCCCATCAGCTAGGATTTCACGATGAAACTGATCGAATTCAGTGCATGCGTATCTACTTTGCTTCCGGGGTAGTTAATGTAGGTTTCAAAGTTGAAAAGTACTGCCATTGCACTTGTTCAGCCACCTAGAGTTGTCGAGAATATATTACGCCTCTGGCGCACTTCCTTCATCTAACCATCATCTTCAAGTTTTTTCAACCCTGGCATTTTCAGTTTATTTGAAAATTGGGTGAAGTTGCTGCTACAGAGGATTTGACGAAGCTCCGATAACCGGCCGCCAATTACTGTTGTCCAGAGCGTTGAGGCCTCGCAGATTCAAGCCACGAGTAGGTTATGGATCACATCTTGTAATAGGGGCGATTTCAACGATTGGATTCGGCGTAGGTAAAACAAATGAACGTAGCCGACAAAATCATTCGTTATGATATATCTATTTAAATCCCGCCCAGAAACAGTGTTAAATTATCCACTAAGGCTAAACGCACAGCGCCATATGATACAAAGCTAGCCATTTCACATCCACGAATGCTCGAATGCGACGTTCGACCACTTCGATGGTGGTTCAACCGAATGTTATGAATAACAACAAAGTGCGTGTCACGCACGCTGAGGACTCACGGATGAGTTGATTAGAAAGCTAACGCATTTTCATTAAAACTACCGCCAACAGCGTAGAGTAACGAATCCCATCGGACGGAAACCCGATAAGACGAAGAATAAACCGGAAGCCACGGAGGGGAGACACACCAGAGCAAGCACACATGTACAAACAGGCTATAAGCAATCCAGATAAGAGACACTTCATCCGTTTGTCCCCAAGATTACATGGAGGAAATCAAAAGCAAAGCTCCTACGAAAATTGGAGTACCAAACTTGATGACGACAGGGTGAGAATACAGGGCAGCTCAAACAGTGTATAAATCGTCCGCAGCGAGTGAAAAAATGTCAGGCTATTTCGCTGATCATGTAAATGGATTTGACAACGAACCATGCGAAATCGGACATATCAAATGGTGTGTACAAATCGAGAAATCAGTAGCTGGGAGAAATTCGCTTCTTTTACAGTTTGTATAGCAAATACAAGTTGAATGGGAATTTTGGATGTGACCGATGTCTTTTGGAATTCCGGAAGTTTTGTCAGAAGTTTGAGCACCAGGGCAAAACTGACTTCGCATCAGAGAAGAGAGAATCCATTGGAGAACAAACACAAGGAACTAAATTCCTTAGTTGTTGATCGAACCTTCGCGTCAGTTAGAGACGGGCACAGCACCATCTGAGATGTTGTTCTGCATTGTAATGTACGTGGGACTGTCAATAAGGTCTCTGTAACAGACTGAACCAGCGGTCTCACCGAATGTGAATGGGGTTGGTAGGCCTGGGTATGCCCGTTTTCATTTTATCTGCATCTATCGAAAGAAAAGTAGGAGAGATTGTATACTGTGAGAAGTGAGGTAGTTTGACCGATCAGGGATAAGGAAAAGTAAACAAAAACATTTTGAGTTTTATAAAGAGGGGTTAAAAATTTGGAACGGTACATAATTCACCTAATCATATTGCAGGAGACAGCCGGCACAGAGCAAATCAGGTATGTATATCCCGAAAGCAAGACCATGAAACAGAGGAGAGCACATACTAGTTGGAGCACATGAGGAGTTATCAAATGCCTCCAAGAATAATCGCAAGGGCTCCCATGGTTTAACAATGGTCGGTGAGATTGAATTGACATATCCATATTCTTCGCGGTTCACAGGGCTTATGCAACTAGCATTTGTGTGATACACAACTCAAAACTCATTCTTCAACCGTTCGCTAGTGACTTCCTCTCTCTCTACCTCTCTAAACGTCCTGATGGTTTGAGTGATATGAAAACAGAATGACTAGAAGTTGGAACAGTTTTTTGGAGCAGAAAGGTAACCTGATGGTTAAAATTATCTTTCGCCAACTTAATGTGTTCGTCGATGCGCAGTGTGCTAGGTTAACGGAAACTCGAGGATTGTACCTAATGCGTCCCACGATGAGTGGAATCAAGAGCTTCCAGCAACCTTATAAGTAGTATGCTCCGTCAAGAAAATATACAGCGAAACCCCCAGCATCGTATCAATTGGAACACCGGGCGGGAAATGCAGTTGGAGAATAGCATAAATGAAGATTTCAGCTGGGATCCAGTTGAGTCTGCGGTTAAACCCGAGTCGATTTGAAAATGAGTGTATTTCGCAAATTAGCCTTTTGTTTCAGCAGCAGTCGCTCATCTAACTCAACGACTAAATGGTCACCTTAGCGATCGTCATGTCCATCATCGACATACCGTCAAGGTCATAGGCGACTGTATCGTGTCCGAATCAAAATGACGTACAATGGATGCAACGCAGTCCAGGTGGAAACTCAGACACTGAAATGAAATTGCATCGGACACATAGCAGCTGAATAGTGATTGACTGACTGTCTGAAAAGGTAAAAGACAGCCTAACATTCACACAAGAAATGGAATGTTTCACACGTGCACCAACAAAAACACATAGCCACATCGTTTGCACGTGTGTCACCAAATAGCCGTCGGTCCCACATGCAGTAAATTCTTAAGGCCATTTTAGAGATGACCAACGGGAAATTCGTGAATTCGGTGCTACAAAACTTGTGTTAGCGACCATACCTATGTAATGCCTTCACAGCTATTCACGTACGGACCAGCATTCGCCTGTCAGCAACGGTTCTTAGCAAACGTATACGTTATCAGCACTTACCAATATCCCTGGACTTTGATACTCGATATGACCACAAGTGTTTCCTCCATGGTTGAAAGAGAATTCACATGGTGGAACAGTTTGAAACCAAAAAAATAGTTTGCTTGGGGAGCAATGGTATCGGACACAATCTTATGGACATGGTACTGATTACCGAAAGTATAAACCTCATGCGGTTCGCGTTCCGTCGAACCCCAAAACATGCTTTGACGCACCACTCAAGTGTGAACATATACACCTGACAAGATAATAAGGATGTATCCAGTTTGCTCTGGTAGACTAGTGTCATGCGTCAAAGATTCGCAGTTCAAATCACCCCACGGTCATGGACATTCACCACTGATGAACTTTACTGAGAGCGGAACTCAAGTTCAGCGGTTCTACTCTCTGGAGTCAGCTCAATGGAATAACTGCGCCCGGACAAAAGAAGCCTGTTCAAAGGAGACTGATATGAATTCGAATTGGGTCACTTGTCAAAAGAGTTGAATGAGTATCCTCTTGAGGTTGCTACTCAGCTAAAGCTTGTATTCTCCAATCTACGTTCGTCTACTGTTGGAATGGCTGGGACTCGATTGAGAACGCTTTACAAAACACACCGATTCTGGATACTTATTATAGGAAATCCCGCAATAGTTACAACCCTGATGTACAAATACATGAGTCTGTCTGCAAGACAAAGCAACAATACACTGTACTGCCTAACAGACGCCCTTGTATTTAACCAGAGAGTGCGAGACTGAGTGCGTCTGACAATGTCCGCCTGCAATTATGAAACGAACATGATCCAAATCAGTAGATAACCCGTCAGTCTTAACAATAGCCTTGTGAAGTACAGATTGTTGCACTTGCCTTTCCGGTTCTTGCCATCAGACCGTTGCGGGGAATGGTAAACATGTGACCCCAGATGAATCGCTTTTTTAAGTTTAGTTTTACGTCGAGGATTTTTCGAACAAACTGGCATGTTCGCCTGGTCGAGACCTAACAAATGGGATTTCCAAATGTCTTCAGGACCACCAGGGACCAAATCTGTAGAACCGGGCGCCGGAAGGTCGCTGTGGCAAAGCGGACAGCGTAGTCCATTACGGGTCGAGGGCAGACATGCATGGGTTCTCAGTTCTGGTTCCGGAACTGCCTCCGAACATACATCACACCGTGTGTAATGGCCTGGAGGTGCAGCTTCACATTCATTCAAGAGGTGGTCGGTCATGCTTGCGATTTCGACAACCTATAGGGGGACGAGAAAAAGTGCATGAATTGTAATGGGTCACCAGTTACAAGCAAAAGCGACCGGTTCAAACATTCTTTTATGTATCAAAGATGTGAACAAGCACAAGAGTCACGAGTGTGCAGAACAAGAAGCACGGTTGTGTCAAATCCTTCCGAAAAATTGTTTTATTTTTATTATTCCGGCTCCTCCTCAGCATATTCATTTCACGCTTTGGAGAAGCAACGTTGAAGCAAGGGAAACGAAGGGAAATTATAGCGCATGTCATTCCCAAAAGACGTGAACTTCAAGTTTCTTTCAGCTTGCTGATATGAATTCCCTAAGATCTCCGCAACATGAAACACTCATTTATGAGAAGATATTCGTGTTGCAACGACCGCCTGGATGCTTACAAGCTTAACTTGGGCAGCTAGCTGGCTAGTCCAAGGGTCTGGAACCCGATACTCCAAGCATAATCACATTGAAGTAACATGCTATCGAGGGTCACCTATTATTCATTATTATTCACTATTCCGTTCACTGAGCTGAGCAGTTTAATTGCAAACGTATCGTCACCAGCCGAGGTGACCGAGATGCGTGGTGAGTTGATGGTGGATCACAGTGTCGGTGTGCAGGCCTACGAACCATGGTTGGATGAGTGAAGCATGAGCATTTAGCTCATTATGCGCAAGATCTAGAAAACTATCTCCTTACGGGCATTTGCGTGAATCAACTGAGTGGCAAGATGTTTTGTTTACTTTCTTCAGTCGCTAGGCTAGCACCTACGCTTATGAACCTGCAGTGTGGCAAAACTGAAATCTAAAGGGAGGAATGAGTTAAACGCATAGAAGTGTTCCAAGTCTGACTTATTAAGCACGCACCTCTGTCGATGTGGTTTTGCGTATTTCCTGACAATCAGCTAGTTCCACACTGCACACTGATAGACAAATTATCCAAAGTTTAGCTGTCCCCCGTAGAGGGATTCTCATGTGGATCCGAGCGGCAAGGCTTTCAGCTCAGCCTTAGTCTGTTGCATGCGGGACTCGTTATGGACGTTTTTGTGAAAAGAACAATGAAAAACAATAAAATGATCGACTGTTGAAAAACCTCCACCATTGTGGACTTCCCTTTGGTCTTCTAGAATACGTACATCTGAATAAAATATTATTATTGTTTCGACCAGTTGGTTTTGTTTCAAAGTACACTCTCGATAAATTGGCTATTCTTTTACAGAGTACTTCACAAGGTTGTAATTCTTCCTGCGATGCAGCATGCACTTCTGCGCATCCTAGATAGTCTCTCTGATTACTTCATACTCATTCTCAACTGTTGCACCAGCAGGTTCAGGTGAGCCTCCGGGTACAGGCCTGTTAATTTACAACTCGCAAATGGCCACGAGAACTAGGAGCCTTGCGAACACATTTAAGCACCTAGCGAAGTTAATTTATTGGGGTGAGTAATGCACTACAGTCCAGGTACCATATAGGAGCCGGAACGGTGAGAGTTTCACGGGACCTTCAACAGTTGGCGCAAAAGGCATCCGAAAACCGAATACAATCCCAGCCGACTAATCATACTTGGATAGGGTTCATACTCGAAACAGGTTAAGCCGGATTCTTTTACTCGCTGCATACGGCAAGACGTAGAAGCGAAAACGTCTGCCTGCTGACGTCCCCTTCCATCCTTCCATCCTGTCCCACTTGGCAATCGCCCTGGTATAGGTACCAGCTGCGGGCACGCAAGTCAGGCACCTCCGAAACTGCACACTAGCACTCATTTCTACTGCACCGGGCCCGCTATTTGGGTCTCGTTCTCCTGTTTTCCCCACGGACATCAACGCCAGAACGCTCAAGCAAACTGGTCAACAAGCTGCTCTTCCGCAATTTTGATTGACATCTGGGGCATACCTGGAAAACACACACAGGATCCAAGTACACCTGTTCGCAACATGAAACTCGTCCAAACTTGATGCTATAGGTTACGAAGTTAGAATGATCTTGCGCATGCTACAGCAGAATGTGACGACGTTGGCACAGCTCTAAGCTCCGCATCTGGGGCTTCCTTTCCAGGCTGGATAACTCTAAATATACGGATCTGTGCTGTCCGAATTCCCACTCTGATTACACATGCGAACCGGTCGAAACACTAAACGCTCATCTCATGTTATGCACCAATGAATTGCAGCTACGACTCGCCGAAAGACATTTTCTGTCGAGAATTGACCGACTTTCTGTTCACCACGGAGAGCTTACATATAGTCATAATAGAAGTAGAAGCCAATACACAGGCAGAACACCTCAGCTCATCAGAAACACGCCTTAGTGGCGTACTTAGCATGAACGCAAAATTCAATGACAGTGGTGAACGTCTTTCTGAGTTCTGTTCTGATCACCTGGTGTTTCTCGGTAGTACTGTGCCCAGATGATTTGGACGCCGTTGTGCTACCTGTTAGCCCCTTACAGCTGAACACCGTTCGAACGAAACTGACCGCAGTGCCATTAGTTAACGGTGACGCAGTTTAATTCTTCACTGACAATTTTTTTGAACCATTAGGTCGAACATTTTCAACAACGCTCAGTTGGCTGCGCGTATTCGGGAATAAGGATGTGTCCCGCAGAAACGGGGCCAATCTGTAATCTTCGGTGTGCTCAAACAGGGTACCTGAATTAACAGTAACATCCATAGGAGTACAAGCCTCACGCGCGTCGCAGCACGATTACTGAATTCCCTTTTATTTTGGCGTCCATCTCCGGCACCTACGACGCAACTCCGTAGGCATTAAGCAGGATTTCCACAAGGAAGTGGGTGCACGTTCGACATGATGCTCAGATGTGTTTATTTTGATGCAGTTCAAAGGTGTACTCAGTCATAAAGTTGCTGAAAACTCTTTAATAGCTCATGGCCAATCACAAACGAGAGATTCAGTCGAGATTCGTTTAAGTAACCCATAAAATGGTAATTAGTAAGGAAATTTTAAAGTCAAAACACAGCGTATTGAAATGGGGTGCTAGAGTCCGAGGTTTTTGTTTCCGGAGACAGCCTTTCTCAAGAACGTTTACAGACCTAATTAGTTTGCAACCAGGATTATTTCGCCGATTTCGTACAATTTGGGTTCAATTCGAACATGGGATTCAAGAGGAATCAAAGACCGCAACTACCTGATGAACCCAACGAATGGTGAAACTGGTAGTGGGCTTTCGAAGAGTTTTCAGTAACCTTAGGAACCTCGGCAGCCGTCAGGAAAATGTACTGTAATACCTAGAATGTTGCGCCGGTGAAGCATGGGGCGGTCTTTGTGAAGCACGTTCAGATGAAGTGTATCATAAACGAAAGAATCAGTTACGTGCTTGGTTAAAACCAAGTTAGTTTTCAACTAAATGCATTTCGGGTAGGCAGCTTCTCCATGATCATCATCATCAGAGACACGGGGCTTGTCCACACTAGTCTCCTGCCATTCCATTTACTTCCCACCTTTTACCAAAAACTTTCTCTACTCATAGTTGTATGGCAATAATGCACCAGTAATTCATTACTGGTGGAATGCTTTCACTGATGTTGGGCGCGTGAATGCCACTTCATTCACATTTGAGACGCCTTAAAAATTGCCAGCAGGCACTCGAATTCGATTTAGCCTGTAAAATAATGGGACACTTTCGGGTATGATATTTCCCACCACCACCACCACCACTAATAAACAAACTAACAAGTTTTGTTCCCAAAGCGAGTGGATATAATTAGATGCAAGATGCTCGCATAAAAGTGATGCTGATCGACGGAGATAAGTGGGATCGACAACATGGAATAATAACCAATTTTCTGATCGATAAAACACTACTTACCAGACAATATCCTCACCATAGAGTATGTAAGCTGAGCTAAAACAAAGAACCTGCCCAATTTCATTCGCTCTCCAATCATTCTCGCCCGGTCCATCCTGAGAGTTGTAGCGCAGATTAGATTAGCAAACGGACGAATGGATATCACGCAACACCCAAGTTCATCATTGCCCAATGCCGGAAAAACATCAGAAATCTAGCGGAAAGTGCTACCTATGTCATGCTAATCACAAGCCGGCACGAGGTGCGAAAAAAGGGTAACAAAACAACCTCAAGAGATTTGAATTACAGCAAATTTCTGCATGAATAATGACAGGCATCCGGTACACTGGGAAAGAGAATAGCCTGACAGCAGCTGAATTAATGATCGTTCCATGACTGACAGTTGCAGGTATTGTCTGTCTGTCTGTCTGGCATATTGGAACTTAGATACGTTACCAATGTACAATCCGATAGAGTTCACCAATCAACGAGCTAACTGGGAGTAGTGTTTATGAAAGCACCTGTATATACTACTTATAAGGTTAGTGAAAATTCTTCAACAGCCCACGACCGGTTTCGCCGTTGTAGCGGCTCATCAGGTAGGAGCAGTCCCCGGGTTTACGTCAACTTGGTGGTTTAATTGAACCCAAATTGCACGAAATTAGTGAAATACACTCATTTGCAAACAAATTTGGTTTTGCGGGAGACTCACATCATAAACGAGAGATTCATCTGGATTCTAGTCGAGTCTCCAAATCAAATTTGTCTGAAAATGAGTGTATTCCCCCAGTATACGAATTACCAACTACAGCAGCAGTTGGGGAACAGAACAATGTTAGAAATGGATACCACTCTTATGATTACAAGGTCATTAAGAGGTATCATATCTCAAAACCTATCTACTAATCTCGTTTTTTCATCCCCGGATAATAGTTAAGGATGTTATCACCAATCGGAAAACATAACTGTTTGCACATATAAACATGGTCGGACCAACCGATGTGGGTGACAGAAATTAGTCAGGTTTGAATTAAAGCTGGATGTGGTTAGACTCGAAAAAGTTATCATGCTCCTTGACAAATCGCATCTCCGACAGCCGTACAACTGGCTTCGCACCTCTTCGGCTCATTAGACAGGTGTGGTCGCTAAGTTGCAGTTAAACTTATGTTCTGATTGAACACCACACTGTAGGCAATTGGGAAAATACACACATATTGGAAACTGAGCTGCGGATTCATTTGAGCCTCTGTTTACCATCAACTTCATTTGCAAATAAGTGTATTTCCCCTCTTATCGTCCTTACCCCTATTCGAGTCCGGTTAACTCGGCATTTCATGACAGCTGTGCCCCGAAAAGACAGCCAACAACTAAATCCTTGCCGTAATAAGCAGTAACGGAAGTGGCTGCGGCGGCAGCGGCGGCAATAGCAAAGCCGAGTTAAAGCTAGCTCTGAATAGGCGATCCACACGGAAGGCGGACGAGTGGAGAATTAAAAGCTGGCTAGTCAAAAATGAACCGCCCAACGAACACCAGGCGACGATCCATCACCAACGACGCTGAAGAGTGGTGCTTCACTGTCGTGCAGACTAGATCAACATTTTTACTCCATTCTGTGTCCAGTTCTTCCAGAGATCGGCAGAGTGTGCATGTTCCTCTGGATTTGTACCTGATTCATTGTTTCACTCAGAACGTGATCAGTAACGGCGCCTCAATAAAAGCGGTCCAGATGATGATGATGAGCCATTTTTGTTTTATTTTACGATGGGACACTTACAGGCCCGTAGGATTTGTTCGCCAGGGGGGAAGGGCGCCCATCGGCCACACACAGACGTGTCCCTTCCTTAGATAGGTGTTCCTCAGAAAGACTGACAGTGGTCACCTACATGTAGCTCAAATCGTTCGCCTCGGGCTAAGTGTTCTCGAGTTCCAGTTAAGGTTCGCGGGTGGTTATTGCGTGATCACCCCTCAAGAGGATATGGAAGTGACATGGTGCTTTTAGACTATTTGGCAGTAACCGATGAATTACAATGGTGAAACTGTCAACGACAGTAAACACTGTCCAGTGTACTACACAACTTTAGAATACTTTATAAATGGTATTAGCTAGTCACTTGACTTCAAGAAAGAACATCTGTATCAACAAGGTTCGAAGATCAGGCTGCGGGACGTCCAAGGAAGAATGCTTGCCACTCGATTCTCCCATGGAAACAACGAAACAAAAGGTGGAAAAATTGCATGGCTGGTGACATTGATTAAAGGGTCAATCAACTACACCTGTGGACTGGATTGAAAAGAGTTGAATTTCTCCGCTTGCCACGCAACCATAGCAACGGAGAAGTGCAGAGACCAATATAAATTATTTGAACCATTCAGCGGTGCCGTGATCACCATGTAAATTAATGTACACTAGCAACTGTGGTTGGGTTAAAGGCACCGCACGGGATGTAGCTGGAGCGCCAACTGAGCGGGTTGGTCTGTTGCTCAAGATGAATTATGAAAGCAGGCCATTTATCCAATCAACAGCAACCAAGCAACTTGCTGAAGAAAATTCGACGAAATGAATAAAAAACAACTGAAGAACTGTGTGTCCGAGAGATATCAAAAATGAAAGAAACAATATACTTATAAATTGGCAAATGGTAGATGCCCAGGCCAATATGGTTATCTAGGTTGATCAGCTCATATTCACTGCAGCTGAATTTATCACCATTAGATTGCGATGCTTTATGCATTGTGTATAAGCGCTATTTAAAAATCAACGATATGTAACTAGTTACCAGGAGTCCTTTAAGGAAAAATATCACTCGTATCATGGCTTTTGCATAGCACAGCTTCCAATCGCCAAACTGTTCCGTGTCTACACAGTTTTCATTAGCATAGTATAATCAACTTTAACGGTCTGTTAACGCAGAGAATACACCTTCAACCTATACCCACCATAAAATTCCTGAATTTTTTAAAAAATAAATTCTATCTCAGTCATGAAGGAGGATGTGATGTTCGAAATACAACAATGTTAATAAGATCCTACATAAAAAGAAGAGTGAAAAGTCTTTATGTGAATTATGCAAAAGTGCGAGACATCGATAAGCCACCTACAGCGCTTTCGCTTACCTGCTTGCAATCAGGACATCTGTGAAGCATAGGACAATCGCTCCAATAATGCAGATCCAACCCCTCTTCTGTGAAGGAATCATTCTGTTCCCCGCAAAAGATACAGGTTTTGTCCAAATTCAGTAAGAGTTCCGCCTCAGTCACCAGCTGAGCTGATTGTGGTGGTAGTGGGGAGGTGCGCTCGCGAGACTTTGACTTGTTCGAACGACTATCCGGCCGAGAGGGAGGTGATTTGACCTTTTTCCTTCCGCGTTTGGTAGACTTTTGCGGCGAAAAACGAGTAGCGGGTTTGACTGCGGTTTCTGGCGTGTGTGGTCGCTGATTACTGGGCTTGGAAGGGACACTCTTTTTACCCCTATTACTCATTATTGATCGTAATTGCTTCACTTCAACCTGGCCATGCAAAATAGTTGAGACGAAGGGAGGTAAGGTTTCCCGCGTCACAGTTTACCAAATCGTTATATAAGAACCGGTCGAAACCAGGAAAATAGCTCGTCGGAATACATAGGGAAGAGACACGTTCATTTTTCAGCTTGAATGTAAACATCGACTGAGCTGTTTGTGCGTTTTTAGGCAGACAAAGACACATATCACTGACAACGACTGTGCTTCACTTCAAAAATTTAGCTGGTTTTCAGAAGACTGTGTTTTAGAAGTGATTTATTTTTCCATCTTTCTATTTTTATGAAAACCTATATTGTGGTCAACACTGCGGACATGACAATGTAATCAGCTGATTAATTGATGGCGTTTAAAAATCCTAATTGTCACTTCAAAAATTTAGCTGGTTTTCAGAAAATCATGACTTTTAAGGACGATTGAACTGTCTTTCACGTGTTCACTGGTGAGTCAATGTGCCTGCAACATATCATGACAGTGTCCGGTCACGATTGTCTCAGTTCATACTCATGGTATTACAAAGTAGGCCGGCTGGATCCGAATGACTATTTTCTCACTTTTTCAAGAAATTGAAAGAATGAGACTAAACGCGAAAAAAAACACTTCAAGTGTTACTGCATCAGATCTCTTACCACCTTCCGGACAACAACCCGGCGCATATGTGGTGGAATTTCTGCCACAACAGCAATGTTGCAGATTGGGAGTGAGGGGAAGGAGTACCTTATAAGGTGCCGCATCTTTTTCGCAATGACTGTAATCCAATTAACTACGGCGACAAGCAATGCCCTTCGGGATCGGCTGTTCCCGTACTCCTTGAGGGGTGCTATTTGTTACCTATTCAGAACGATAATCCTTCAGGCGAACAACTGAGTAGCACCTTTAGTGGCCCACGACATCTGTTAATTCACTGTCATTAAACAACCTCTTAGTGCCTGCATCCTGTCAAGGAATCGTAGTCATGTTGCCTGGGCCACAGGGAAAACTCAAATGATATTTTGAGCGCGTCAACGGAGTTGTGTGAGAAACTTACCTTCCACTAGCTGAAGCGACGTGTCAAACTGACACGATCGGTCTAATGGTGCTGCCCAAGGAAAATCTATTACTTCAATTCGACTCAGGCGCCAGCTAGGGAATGCAATTTCCTGCGTCTACAGCGGAGTTACTCGGTCCCAATCAGTTTGAAAATCTAGCTGAAAGGTGGATTGACAAGTAAACAACCCTCCTTACGGAAAGACGCACTACCGGCACGAGCCGAGGGATGCACATTGAATCAGTCCCCACTTCTTAACCAAAATGGCTGCAACATACTCCGCCACATGTAAAGTCAAACGCCCGCGTATGTGCTCTTTACTTTTCAACCTGGGCAGGTCTATGTTACACATGAATTTGGGGCCGGTAGCAAACCAGCTGGGATTAAGTGGTTCCATCCCTCCTACCGCACACGAATTAGTCAACAATCGACCCAACTATGGTATGTTTCTAATTTGTCTTGCTGGTACCAGGCCGTTTCGTTTGGACAGCTGCCGACTACAAGTGTTAACCCGCCAGTTACATACGACTAAAAGCTGTGGCTACCGAGAATGAGAATAAGAAGCAATTCAGGTTTCGCTCTTCATAAAAGACATCTTGTCCCTTTCAGAATTTTTTGTCTATCGGCGGTTCGCTAAATCATTTGCCTCAGGATGTACGTCGAATGTTGGAGGGCACCTTATTCTAAGGGACTGATGTGATGACTGAGGCCACAGTTTGGCCGTAGAATAGATCGCTTTTCGATTAAGTGTTCCCATGAGGCCCATCTGTTCCCTTACTTTCTGCGAACGAAGTGAAGTTTATCCATACCGTTACTGCTGAAAAAATCGGAAACAACCTGAAGAGTAAAAGCATCGGGAGATAATTTGACCCATGCAACAGAAGCGAACATGTTGGTTGAAAATTTAGTTTAGAGGAGATTACATGTTGGATTGTTCTAGTGCTCACTGAACTTGCCATTCGGGGGCCTACCCAGCACACAGGTATCTGTTAACATAGATGGCAGAAAAACTTGCTGTTACCTTGAGGGGATTTTCTATAGCAGCTCAATTTATTCAGCCGTTCGGGATAGTGTTCAGACTACCGTCCAGTACACCAATACCGCGCTCGAGAAATCTGCTGCAACATAGCTAGGACGAGGGCTACGTGGTGAAGATAGTAACAAACAACCTCGAGAATCGAAAACCCAAGAGGCCAGATAACTGAACAAACTAAGAAACCACAGACACTAACATTGTGAACTTTGGATTTTGGGGGTGGGATCACCTGAGAGTGCGTTTAGACTGGATTGTTTCCAGCAGAACAGAGGATATAAGAGCTGGGTAATTTTAACACAATTCGCTCCATTGGGCAACAACTGGCCAGAACTACTCTAAAACAGTTTGCAAGTCTGATCGGCCTAAACAGACAAAGTTTCTGATTCTTTGTGAAGGGTCTATTGGTCAACAGTGTGTACGCCAGATTGATTTCCTCATAACCATGTGCTGCGGTTGGCTAGAAAGGCCAACCAATAAATCCCCGGATCGCTGAACTGCAGTGGACATGACTGCTTTGTCGGGATGAAATGAATAATCACAAATATCTAGTCACTTAATAATTACTTCACGCACCGTAGCAGCGAATACCTCCAACCAGAGGTAAGTATATACATCCAGATATCGGAATGCATAACTGGGCACTCACTGTTACAAGTAGATTACATGGCGGGATAACCAAACATCACAACGCATTAAGCTACATCTCTCACATCACCAGTAGTTGCCTTCTGTTTTGCAACATGAAGGTACTGGATCGAACAACGTGTAGTTCAGGTATCCACTGGATCAAGACCCCCTTGGGCACACACACGTACAGCGTGTGTTCGCGCAAGAATACGAGCGTCTAATTCCGGAGCTGTTTGGAACAGTGGTGCGAGTGCTCATCAAAAGTAACGTGAAGAGATTTATGGAGGTCCTTTGGTGAAATGACCAGGAAAATATCACCGAAATCCTCAGTGCTATGGGGTGATCACGTAGATAGTCACACTCGTTCCCTCTACAAGACTTCCACACCAAAGTAATATTCTTGTAAGCTCAGTTTTCAACTTATGAGGCAGGCACCAAGTCTGACTGAAAATCATTCAATTTCATGCAAAGGAAGTGCATTCATGAACGACATTGTTGGTCTTATAATTTTGTCGCGGAGATTATGTTCGATATTATGACCACATTAATGGTCAGAATAATGGGAAGACTATGCCCTCCGGGTGCAGCTGTCCAGGTAATCTGACTTTCGGATATTACGCTGGAAGGATAGCTCTTCCTTCTTACGTTGATGAAACCACTTCTTATAAGCAGAGGTGATTAACACTCTCCCATGGTTCACCAACGAGCGGCGAAGAGGGACGCCAAACAACCTGAGTGTTTCGGTGAAAAATTTGAAAAACAAACGAAAAGGAGATAGATATCTACCGATTGTGTTCACAGATTACAAGAGTACAAATGAGGAAAAATGCCACTGTACCTGATGCACATCAGGCTCTTTTCGCCCTTTCGGAGTACGTTGAGGCGATGCACCACTAGGAACCTCCGAAGGTAAATATTTTTCGTCGATTCGCTCAAACTTTCCAAACAGCCGTCGGTACAGTGGATGTCTGTGAGCATTAATGTCCTCCGGAGGCATTGCGTGTCGGATAACGGCACGATTCTCGGATCGGTATAGGGCCACCATCAGATTTTCGGCGACTTCGCGAACCTTATATAAAAAAAGTGACAAATGACATTGCAGGCTGAAGGGAAAAGGGTCTCTTGGACAGAAATTTGAAATTTGAATTAACAAGAGCCAGTGTGTTATGTTGAGGACGCTCCAACAAAAATCTACTCCCAAGACGATGGTTGATTTGGCGCGAGGGCCATTTGTAGAGAAAATGAGGTAAACCACAGTGGTCCAAAAAGAACAAGCTGAAAAGTGATTCGGTATGAATCTGAGTCTGAACTGTCAGTTACACTATACGACGTACTTCTTTCGACCGGTGGGTAAGTGCCTTGGCCGTGAAAGCTGCCACAGCATCTAATGTAAATCCATGGGTGTGTTCTGGACCATGGGAATCAAGACCTCGAGCTGCGTACAATTCGGTTACCAATTCCATACGACTCAGTGCAAGTCTATCCAAGGTGACCGAGGAGAAAGGCCGGAGGAGTTCATTCCAAAAAGTTGCATTGTGGCGGAGCTGAAATCAATTAACATGGTACGTTCATTTTGCCACACGAAGACCGAACAATACAATTCAAGAAAGGGGGCCACTGACAACATGGCTCACGTCGGTTATATGGCAAACCTAAGCGGTTAGAAACAAAACACTTGGTTCATAGAAGTACTCCAGTCGTCAAGCCAGCCAGATCTCGAGATGGTCCAGGACATAGTCACGAATCAAAACCTAACCGCGGTGCAAATGGGGTAAAAGCTTGACTACTGATTAAACGCAAGTAACGTGATAAAAATGATTAAACAACGGCAACCCCGGTCTGCGTTGACTGCCCATCAAATGGGTAAATTGGTGTGATGACTGCAAAATTTGAGGCTTTACTTATTTGAATGAAACTGTCCACGATGAATGCAAGCTTTCAAACGACGGATATGGCGCAGTTTGACCTATTAAAAGTTTAGAATCCTGGTTTGGAGGTTAGATTTCGAGATAAAAACAGTAGTCTAGCAGTTATGCACCGAGGAGTGACCTCAGATGAGAGCTGAAGAAAACATGATATTATGTTTTTTATGTAGATCTCTTACCCGGGGAGTCGAGTGTGGCTGTTTTGTGCTAAATACGCCCAACTTCACAGGAAGTGGAGATTCCCGCTGATTTTCCTATCCGTTTAGCTACTACTTGTGTTCCGTGCTTAGTTGGATCGAAATGATATGACCAAGGCATCGAATCAGAAAACATAACCTAGAACAACTAGGTTGGTGGAGTAAGCACTAACCTGAGGCCATTGGGCCATAGAAAGAATCTGAGATTTTGCGACTTCGCGAATGCGCGCCGAAGTGTCACCAATTCTCTGAAACAGGATCGGAATCAGTTTGTCCAGGGCGTAATGGAGTTCGACGCGTAGTATGGAATATCGGTCAGCAAAATCCACTATAGTTCCCTTGATGAAGTAAGTCGCGAGACGGAAAATAGATAGAACCTAGAAAACAAATAAAACATGCATTGTATCCACTGCCACCACCAAAACATTGCTCACTCCTAGGATAACAACGGGACGATTAGCGCCTAAGAAAAGCATTCGGAATGAAGGTTACGGTCACGTTGAAAGAGTATGCTTACTTGATCTTGAAGTGCACGTTTCAGTAGGAAAGTGGTTGATCGAAGCTCAGCACGAGGATCGGGATCAATCATATCCGGGGCTGAAACTGGTGGAGGCAGCTTCGGTGCAGTTACTCTCTTTTCTAACTCTACTAATGCTTGTTCCCGGAAGCTCCAGCATTTGCTCAGTGCCTTTGTAACCTACAATGAAACAAATAGTAAAATATCATAAACCCCCTCATTGGATCATTACAGTATAACATAAAGACCCCAAATATCGTGGGACCAAAGCTGAATTAAGCTATGTAGACAGAAGATATCTTACGAATCGAAAGATAGATCACGCACTAAAGAACAAAGGAAGCCAGATTTGTTTGATCCAGTAGAAATTCAAGACAGTCATAAGACGGCTGTAAGATGGTGCTGGTTTCCTATCAGCATTTGTAAATTTTGAGCCACCCTACTTGTAAGTTTTACGAATATGCAACCTTACTCTGTAATGAAGACATACGATGGAATTAATGTCGGATGGCCTAAGATGAACTGGTACAACTTACCAGGTCAAGTCCGACAACATCGATTGCAACACTGGCTTGCCGTCGAGCGTTCTCACTCAGCTGCTCTGGCCCTTCCGGTACCTCAGCTGGAGTTGGACCTTGAGTTAGCACTTCAAAAGGACGTTTTTCTACAACTTTCTTGGCATGTAATTCCTGTAGTTCCTCCATTTCCCTTAATTCTTGAGCTTCGTCAACGGTTGGAAGATGTTCCGTCACCGGCATGTGCATACACGGAGGCTCCGGCTCTGGTGACTCATCTGGATGCGCCTCGCAGCACACATGGTCGCTAGGATAAGATTCCACCGCGGCACTGTTGTTTTGAGGACTGATTCTGAGAGCAGGAAGCGGACGCTCATCGGGGTCTGCAGGCGGGCACCGACATATGTGTTGTTCCTCTGTCTTAACGTCCGAGTGTCTAATGGAATGGTCCAGATCTTCTTTGCTAGGGTTGATTACCGCATCTAATGTAGACAACCGCACGTGTGCGGGACGGCCTGCAGTTGAAATATGGGAGGATGGAGGTAAATTGCAGCGTTGAATAGCTTGTGAAGACCGTATACAAAAAAATCAAACTGTTGGAAGAAAGCCAGAAGTTAAGTTACGAATTAGACTGCCACAACGCTTTAATGAAAGACTGTGGGAATCTTCGTCATAATGGACTACAACAACAGTAGAACCTCTCCAAAGAAAGTGACTTCGGGAAGAAAGCAGAAGTTAAGTTACGAATTAGACTGCCACAACGCTTTAATGAAAGACTGTGGGAATCTTCGTCATAATGGACTACAACAACAGTAGAACCTCTCCAAAGAAAGTGACTTCGGTTGACCCCGTACTATACTTATCATGACCCTGGGACAATTAGTTTCTACCTTTGGAGTTGTACTAGTTCAAAAATACTGGTTCAGATATGGCACTCCTTGGGTGAATAGCTATCGTGAAAATCAGATGCAGTAGGACTGTGATACCAGCAGGCTGTCCAAAAATCATACAAGAGAGATCAGAAAAGGGGTTTTACAGCCAGTAGGTTGGTGCCTTAAGCGTCGAGTTACCTCGACCACAGTTAGAGCGCACTGTTAGACTATAAGGGGGACCTGAGTGTAATATGTAGATGTATTCTGATTTATGGGTAGGCTCAATGCCCTCCGTAGCAACTATTCCCTATCGATCGTTACTTCAAGAAGCTTGAGTGTACCGGAGCGACACCAACTTAGAGGTTGCAGTGTAGAGTGGGAAAGATTGCGCAAAACCTCCCGCTTTCCACGAAGGTAGGCGTAACGTTGCAAGATACGGCCGATAACCTAAGTTCCTGTTATCAGTTTTTAACAGTATTTTTAAGGTGAGACTTTTGAGTGTACGAACCTCGGGTGTTTAGAGCAGACAGTTCAGTTCAGTTCGAAAACCGTAAATCGTGTATGTGTGTGCGGTGGTCCGGGTCGCCGCAGCACATGACAGTCGGTTGTGTAGGATAAGGGTACAGAGAAACATTTCAAAACAAGGAAGAATACAAAGGAAAAGAGGATAGATACAAAACCACCACTAGTTGCGTGGCATTGCTATGTCGATGAGTACATCCAACCGTTAACATGATCGGTTTGTGAAACCTCAACCTCACGGACCAGTCAGCCAAGAAACTTTGTTGTTTTTTTCACACTCGTCTCCAGGTCACTTGGTATCTTATTGGATCTTCCAGTCAAAACCCGTTTCAGCGAAAGGCCAAGGTAATCGATCACCAGACATAAGGAGTACAAGTTCTAGTCGGAGTAGTTGGTGCAGCCAAATCAACTCATCATTTGGACAAGCAGCTGACTTGTCAAAAAACACTCATCGCACTTCAGCATTCCTATGATGCACCGATAGTCAAAAAAGAAGCAATCTCCTCTCATCTTTAACATACAGCGGGCAGGCTTCATCACCGTGAGGCAACACGAATTGCCGCGTTGTAGGTCCTGCTTTTTACCTGCAGACCAGAGTCACGTTGACCTCAGGCTTGCCTCAGTTGAAGGTAGGACGAGCGTGAGCAAATCTAGCGTTCAAATCGTCAGCAAAACTGCCCAGGTAGGTAGATCTATCCACTACAAATAATGGCTCGGAGGCCATGAAGAGCTTTAGCAGTGCATTCGTCCAGTCTTGAAATGGCTCTTTGCAGTTTGAAGGTAAAAAGCGCGTACCGAATTGTACAACAATATTATCTAAATTATTTAGTGGTGCATATCGTCCGCACACCCTAAGTTCATAAAGCCTTCTACGGAAAGAAAATCTACATCAGAGACACAAGACATAGCTAACGTTTCCGCCATTGGATCACGAAGCTGACGACAATTCTGATGATGAACTCAGGAGAACATTGTCCGTAAACTCTCATGTACCCATGTTTATTGAAGCGTGGCGCAACTGTCCGGTACATCTTTCAAAGAGAGATATTGCCACAAAGTCAAGCGCTGCTGTCAGATATAAGGAGGCAACAATAGTTTGCTTTCTACATGGGCGACGTTCTAGAATTTATCATAAGGTGAAGATGTGGTCAGTGCAAACATAACCTAGATGGAGCCCTGCTTGGTTTTCACAAGTCCGTCTCTCGCGAGTGTCCACAAGTGTGTGTGAGCAGGTTGTGAATAATGCTGACCAATCTTACACCCTGATGATTCTTATATTCGAATCTAACGACTTTTTTAAAGACAGGTAAGGCAGTAGATACCTGCCATTCTTCCGGTAGGTCTTACGGATGGTCTTCATACATTTTGTCAGATTCTGAATGAGTCTTTCTCCAAAACAAAGTAGTGGGTGTATTGCGAGTGAGACGTCGTTTCAGAGGTCTTGCTGAATAATTTTGTCTTATTAGCGTTTTGAAGAATACACAATACAATCACCATCCATATGGGGACCACCCAGAGAAAAGGCATCACATGAAAAAGGGCACTTTTATATTATCCGCTGAGGAGGCAACCGCATTGACAATGTGTTGAAAGGTTAGGGGCTTAGGTGTGTTTATTGGTTGCATACACCGACGTTCCATCGAAATGAAGGTCAATTACGAGGATTGGAAAACATAAAAAACAGCCACCTGATCAACAGCTAACGAGGTAACTATACGTCAGGCACCACCTGACAGGAGTCTAAACAGACGCACCAGTTGTTACGCTCAATCGAACATCTACTAGGCCACTGATCAAGCAGTCCAGTGACCCAATCACAGTCCGACGTGCAAATGTGTTTGTCTGCTCACCGACTGTTTGTTACCGATTAGATGATGAGCGAAACTCGAGTCTGGTGGTTCCCACTGACGTGGACTTCCTAGTAATGGTCATCCTAGCACTATTCTTCTTGCTCAACGAATGGAGGCCATTCAGAAGCAGTTGGCGCAGAACCTCGCAGTAAATATAAGGGCTTCAGGAGACCACATAACCGTTACATAAGTGGTGTATGAAGTCTCACCAGAGCAATTGTCTCAAGTGCCCAGTTCTACAGGAAAATAACAAGTAAACTATAAGCATATGCCTGTATTAAACTGGTGTAGGTTAACGCCATCAGTGTAAATCCTTCCTGCTGGCTACCCTATGTAAGTAAGGAGTGGGTGGAAACGGCAATGTAGTTGGTGTTTTATGTTCTTCTGCACTATGGCAAGTAGGAGTTAGAAAGTTAGAGTTAGTTAGAGAAAGTCGGAGTTAGAAAGTTCGTAATTTTGACAGCGTTGTGGAAGGGCACCTAACTGGTAGTGTGCAGCTGTATTCAAGAGGCTTCGTTAGAACTACTGTCAGATGAAATTCTTTGTATCCTTAGACACTGGACACTCGATTCGTCCAGGACGGTTAACTGAGGCGTGTTGGTTTTTACTCAGTTATGCGATTAATTTGAGTAGGGCCTAGGAACATAGAGCGAGAGGTAATTTTTCTTGAAACCCTTTCAAGGATATTTTAGGGTGCGGATTTATTCGCCAGTAAGAAAGGTAAGCCAGAGTGGAATGGGTCAGTATTCGTGTTGAACACCGCAATCTGTAAGAAAGCTTCCAGAGCTTTTTATTGGTAACAAAGAAAGAAGCTCCAGACTTTGCGTTTGTTGGCTGCTGCGACAACGAGTCACACTCAGCTTACAGGAAGGATTGGTGTCTGAAAACTCATCTAGAATCAAGCTGAAGTGAAACGGCCAGGTTCTTGAGGGCTTCAGAACGATCAAAACAGTGCCATCCGAATAAATACGAGATTAGGCACATGTTGGTAACTCCCATCAAGAATATTCACGAGTAAATACTTCACGTGACTGTGCGCCTGTATCAGCCAATAGATGTGCATCAGAGATCAAGTTCGTATGTATTTTTCCCAAACGGATATATACCCTGAAGCTGGTAATGCGATCAAATGAAAGGCAACATCAAAGTACAAATATCCATAACAACATTCGAAGTGGCCATTTTTCAATGTGATCTCTGAATGGCTTGTGAGTGCCTCAGAGCGACGGTGTAGGCTGCAGTGAAAACGTACGTCCATTCGATATCTACTACTTAGTACAGCAACTAGTAGTTGGAAACCGATTAGTCTTACAAACCACGGAAAACTGGTGAGGCGGAGCAGAGAACGGGATTCAGTAAATGAGATGTCATAAGGGGGATGAAAGACGTGACTAGATGAAGCGGAAAATATAGTTACGAAAAAACATCCGATGGGTGACATATGAAGGAGCATTAGGCAACTTGAAAACTGGTGGTGTGAATCGGACGAGAAATAGTATTGTGAATCATCTGTGAGCGTGACGCTCAGATCAACTCTAGTCGAACCGAAAATGGCTTTTCTGGGCGAAGGGAACAATGTTCAGTGGTTGATGCCGTCAGATAGTGTAAAAGAATTCCTAAAAACTCAGCAGCACAAGGCCATTTGTCTTTGTTGGACACATCATCCTCAGCGCAAACCGGTTGGCAGGCGCCTTTGTTAGACACATCCTCAGCGCAAACCGGTTGGCAGGCGCGTGGTCCACAGGAAAAAAAAGTGACTTCAATAACTTAAGAGTCTTGCGAATGATTTCATCACGTACAGCAGATGAGTCTCAATGAGGATAGAAAATCCCACTGAGCTGAAGACTACCGAATTTCTAAACAACGGTTCACTTAAAGGGGATTGCAAGCATACATTTCTGGTCGTGCGGTTGCCTCTTTGCCGCTCACACTACCAATCGCCAGAATGATTCGTTCAGCTTTGAAAACAAGATATCCCACTGCCGTTTGGAATGAGTTTTCGGGATGTATGATAAATAAAACATGAGCAAGATAGCTCAAGTGGTGAGAACGCGAATTTACTGACCGGAAAGTCCGTGGTTCGAACCCGACCTCCGCCTCTCGACTTCCCCTGTCTAGGCTTGGGCAACCTGGCAATATCCCAGCCCTCGTGCTTCATTTGGGTGGCATGGCAGCTAGGCACCGGAAGGGTGCTACAGCTGAACTATGCTAACATCTGACCAGTATGAGAATCACAGCAGAACTCACCCGCATCGTACTGGTACTGCAGATAAGAGGGAATATAGGGAAGAAACGATCGTTTAAAAGGTGACGGTAAGTATAGTTATTTGGCATTCACTATGCACTAATGAAAACAAAATACGCTTACGTTTTAGAAATGGGATAGCAATAAGCTGAAGCATCGCTACCAACCTTAATAATTCGATCTACGACCATATAAGGTACCGGTGACTAATATAAAGCGCTGAATGAACTATACTGGATTTCAGTTGTAAATGAAACTATCTAAACTGACCGACCAAATGAGGGGTCTCTTAAAAGGTGCCTATGACACAAGAAGCTATAAAGCTAAAGCTATAAAGCATCTCCCGATGATGAACCAGCCTATCCATTCGATGCAGTAGGAATCATTATAGCAACTAGCTGAGGTCTTCTGCATGGCTTATCGTGTACAAGTTACCATTCCAAGTCCCTCCTCACTTTGGCAGGTGAATGAACCTGACTTAACAAAGCAACTACTCCTCTGCACAAATCCCTAGGAGATCCTTCCACCTCGTTAACTCCGCACCTACAGGCCAGACACTTTCTGACGATACGTCATTGGAACTGGACTTTTTCGGTCCAATAATATCCTGCTGTTGGTACGCTCCTCAAACTCCCTGAACTGAGATTCAATGAAGCATGGAGTTGTTTGAACTGGGAGCCTTCCGTATATTCCGTAGAAACAGTCAGGGGAAGGAATTAGGGAATAGCGTGCGCATACAGTGCCCATAGCGGTCAGTTTATTGAAGACACAAACCTATACGAGGCAAAACTTCCAACTAAGTGTGCATTCAAGCACCAGGTCATGTGCTTTAACAGCGCGATAAGATTAATAAAAGAAAAATGGTCGATGGTAACGAGCGATCAGTGGATGGGTCAATGGATGTCTGTGGAGAAGTTCAATGAAAAATAACCATAGAAAACACCATGCTATTGACTGCAACTGCTATATTGAGTATCGAACGTGGATGCCTTATAGTTAACGAGATGGCTCAGTGGTTAGGGCGTGAATTTACTGACCGGAAGGTTCCTGGTTCGAACACGACCTCTGCCTCTTGACTTCCACTTCCACCGGCAGTATCAAAGCCCTTCTGCTTCTTTCGAGTGGCATGGCAGTTATGCACCGAAAGGGTGCAACAGCTAAAGATTTTTTTAAACAATAATTCTGCGTTCCAGCATGAACAAGCCGAATTAGGTATACCGATTAAGAGTGAAAAAACCTAATTGTTTCAAGAGAAAACGTTAAGGGTTCAAGTGTGATCGAGGAAAGTTTTCATCTGCGGCCTGGCATCTTCATCGGCTTTCTACTGTCCAAATGAGAACGGGATTCATATAGTACAACAAGATTAGGCATTCCCATGTATGTCTGTCAATAACGGCCTAGCTGACCCCATTGTTAGTGAAGTTGCATAATAACTGTGACTTGGGTGAGGCGCTTGCTTGTTAATCTCTTCGCTGAGCTTGTCAACCTGACTGCGAACTTTTCGTCGCCAATCCTGTAGACATTGTGAATGCGGGGGAGTGGGTGGATTCACCGAACTTGAAAGCCAACATAGATGGATGGTGAGTAGAATAAATAGTAAGAGTTTGGCATCCTTCTCAAGTAGCCCTGTAAATCTCGTTGAGGCAATATTTTCTAATTGCTCTCCATCTTGGTAAGTAGCAGACACACACCGTACATAATAATTTCCCTTAATACATCCGACAGAAATTTGAGACATCTTCGTAGTTAGAAACGGGGTGTACAAATATAAAACGGAAACATGGAACCAATAAGCTGGAAACTTACTTGAGGTTCAGAGAAATCGGCTTCACTAGGGATGTCCGCCAGCAGGTTCATCAAATCTAAGTCTTCGAACATGGTCGACCGCAGCTCGTCAATTTGAAATTTCTTCAGCTTGGCACGTTCGTAGTTCTCCACCTCTATGGCTTCTTGCTTCTCCAAGTTCAAGCGACCCAAACGTTCGCCAACCTGGTCAAAAAATGAACGTCGCCAGACAGGATTTAGTTTGTTTATCGAGTTTAGATAGCGAAGACAGTCAGGTGAACGAGTGATAAAAACAGCGTGATTGAATGTGGTCTGTTTAGCCATTCATGCGTCCTAAGGGATACTCACAACATGAGCTACAGACAAGCATTCTTCACGAGTTTGTAGACCAATCGCTTTTTTGTTTTCTATCTTTTCGAAACTGGGGCCCATCCGTTAGGATGGTTTTCTGTGGACTCAGGATTCCACTTATATTTTGGATGCAACATCCGAAGACCATTGATTACCAGTGGTTGCTAGATTCAATAGAATCCGGATCACAAAGACTGGATTCGTAGAGCAAGGCATGCTTTTCGTGCTAGTATTTTCAGGTTCTTGCACCAGAAATGCATAAAGACAATAAACTAAAACCAATGGCTTGCAGCGTAACTAAAAAGTTGCTTCTTAGAGCTTCGGCCAAGCCAAGTCGTGTTTCAGGCGAACTCCAATTGAACGATTTACTCAGTTCATCAAACTGCTGAAAAAACTATTAGTAAAGGACTGAATTTGTGGAGCTAAAAATTCTTCTCAACCCAGGCTCGAAAAAGCGGAGATATTAATCGCTCCTCTAGGAGAAACGCAGTAAACCGGGTCAGATATGGTTGAACGCCTTCAACAATCGAAAGCCTCCCAATCGAAAGCATGTCAAAGGGAACCCGGTGTAATCAAGAGGCTACTTAGCAGTGGATAATCAATCCTGTTCGGTTGGACTTTTCAATCGAAGGATAAAAAAGACGTGTACATGCTGGAAAAATCTTGGAAAATCTGGAAAACTGTATAACAAACGCACTTGTTGTAACATCCCAATGGAGTCACGGATTTTCTGGGCACGGTCAAAGCGCTCCTCTGGAAATGTTGGTGGCAGAAAATGAGTACGTGATATGAAGTAGCATGTGGCTGTTGACATCCTTTAATGAGACACAACATTCATAAAAACGCCTCTGACGTAACAATACCTAAAGAGGAAAATATTCATAGAATCTGAGGCATTGTTAGTAACCCAAAGTAGGTTAATAGTTCCATAATAATAATACTAATAGTAATAATAATACCATACTAATATGTTATTATGTCTCACTATCTTTCAAAAACAATTCTGCTTCTGATCAAATCGTCCATCATTTATACTTTTAGCCTCAACAGTAATTGCGTTGCACCATCCGCTTACACTTCCGATGAGTATATCGCTTCCTGTGAACTGTACGGTATATTCGCATCTGAAAGATAAGATCGCTGAATGGCTTCGGACAAGCCACATCATAATAGAAGAGGATATGTTCTGGGTACACGAGTGACATCCCTCTACTCAACGGTGTTTGAATTCAGGAGGGACTGGTAGTCAGTTAGCGAAGAGTCTGTAAGATAGACGTATGGTGTGATTTTCATCTACCCAGCTGTTGACAGTGATCAATTCTTTCTACATCTACGTGTCCCAGTAAGGACCGGCTTTGTGAAATATCATTACGTACCATTTCTTAACCATTTCTCCGGTCTATCTTGTGAGAATGGGAGTTCAAGCCGACTACAGTGAAGCAGTTGGAAACTAAGCTCAACGGTTTAGCCGTAACATGCATGTCCCTTCTCTCGTCAAACATGAATTCACAGCCTGACTTCCGATTTCCGTGCAGACAATATGAGCAGCCCCAGCATCAGCATCAAAACTGAATCATCAGTTGTCTAGATAGAAATAACTGCTGTTACGAACACCGAACGGTCCCATTCTCCATCGTGACCATAGTTCAAAATGGAAAAACCACCTTTGTCTCGATCCGAAGACCGACGCAAGAATAAAGGAGTTTCCTACTGGCGCCAGCCTACACACAACATCCATATCTTGGACTTCTTTCAAAGTCACTGGTGTGAGACAAACTAATTCACTTTCCGTTGGTTTTTCCAACATCACGTTCAGATGATCACGATCTCCCTCTAAGGTCACACACGTGACTGATTCTCGTGATCGGGATATTAGCAATTAACAATTAAACCGGTCGAAGTGATCATTTACCGTGCAATCGTTATTATTGATATTATCATTATTATTACCAATATCCTTAATTATTTGTTGATTTTTAAACACATACAGCCTTCATCATGGGGTTTATATGTCCTGCATTCTTTCTACGATGGAACTTAGTTAAAAGTGAAATTCAAGGGGCTCACGGAATTCGGTTGTTTTAGATTATTTCTTCGTCGAAACCACTCCACACAAGTCAAGATCACCAGTACAACATTCCTATTGAGGAGGAGGAAATATACCCACTTGCCATGGATACTAATCGTGATCATTGTGAGCAAATTCTTAGCACTCTCTGTCCAGTTAATTTCCACCCGTAATTTACACACTTTTCAGGAGCGAAAATCGTCAGAACGAAATCCCTCTCCAAAGCATCAACCAATTGGTCTAGCTGAAGGTGTGGTACTTGTCGCTCTTCCAACCTGGCATCAACCACAAACAACGAAGCGTATAGTGCAACATTAGCCGTTTTGAAATTGAATATAGTCAAGATAATCTCGGCTCGGTGCCTACTACTTCTTGTTAACACAGGATGCATAAGAGCCCAAATGGAGTGACAGATTCTTCAAACATTAACAGTTTCCTTTCGGTACAGTCTAATGGATCGTACTAAAACACCGCAGTCACTTTGCCCTTTTTGAGGTACACCAGGTAGGCGCAGTTCCCGAGGTTCGGTCAACCTGATCTTCTACTTGAACCCAAATTGGACTGATTTCGACAAATACACTCATTTGCACATGGATTTGGTCTTGAGGGGAGACTCAACTGAGTCTCTATCATCATCAGACACGGTCCAGTTGCACCCTCAATGGCGCTGCCTTCGTTCCCCAATCTCCCCACTTAGAAAGTACAAGCTGAAGCGACTTCTCGATTCGATACACGAGACAAGTCATTGAGGAACTTTGGTTACTTAGGAGCAGTCAATTGTTTATCCCTAACTTCCGGTCACCTATGGCGGATTTGGTCTTGACGGGAGACTCAACTGAGTCTCTATCATCATCAGACACGGTCCAGTTGCACCCTCAATGGCGCTGCCTTCGTTCCCCAATCTCCCCACTTAGAAAGTACAAGCTGAAGCGACTTCTCGATTCGATACACGAGACAAGTCATTGAGGAACTTTGGTTACTTAGGAGCAGTCAATTGTTTATCCCTAACTTCCGGTCACCTATGGCACCAAAAGGTGCAAATGATAATGACAATCGTTCAGCCGTAACACCCTTTCGGTGCCTAGCTGCCATGCCACCTGAAGGAAACACGAGGGCCTGGTTGCCCAAGCCTAGACAGCAGAATTCGAGATGCAGAGGTCGGGTTCGAACCACAAACCTTTCGGTCAGTGGATTCGTACTCTAACCACTGAGCTGAGCCATCAAAGGCTACTCCTGGAAGCAAGCAACGACAATAAACTTCTTACAACCACCGAATTGGACGCTCCACGTGAGAGACCTATCTTACCGAACGAAGCACGTTGGCCCATTCCTGTTTCTGGTCTCAAATAACTGGCCCTCGTGTAGAACGGCAAAAACGCATCAGAGCCGGTCAAGTATGAAAACATAACTGATCTTTTCATACAACGAAGAGTGCTTGAGGAAGTAGCTGTTTATTACGATCAGATCGGCAGTTGACAAACCATCATACATGTGAGGCGACCTCTTGGTCACAAAACAACCTTTAGGTCATGCTCTAAAGGGTGTAGCTAATACCTGTTTTGGAGTCATGTTTCAACTGCCCACAGTTTCTGTATCCAGCTACTCAAAAGATCATCTGATGGTGGCTAACTTGCATCCGATCCGCTGCTTCCTATTCTCACCAAATGTGGCACAAAACTATAAAACTGTCGCCCGCGAAAAGTTCTCGAAGGCGATACAGCAGGGATATTGGTGTAACAACAGTACAGTTTCGGACTACGACATGTGACACCTCCATGTGGCTCTCGCCCATTGGATTGCAAAACAAATAACTAACTATCAGTGGTCATTCGATTTGATGGGTAATGTATTTACGTGACTAGCTGTAACGACGCTCCAGAAAAAATGATTCAGGTAGGCGTTGAAGTCAAAACCAAGTCAAACTCACGCAGTACAGCTGTCTGTTTCAGTTTCTCCAAGCGACGGATGATGTTAGCAACTTCAGGGTCCTGATAGATGTCGAAGGCTAGGTCTTCCGTGGGTGGAATGAAATCGTACCTGTAAGTGGAAGAAATCGTTTTATGCTCTACTACCCATAGACTTAGTACTCTGAAAAACTCCCTTCTAAATGGACCGAACGCTATCGGGAAGCGTTACCGGAAGATGAAGGTACTACTGGTCTCAAAGCCACCAACGCCGTCTCTAAAAATAGTTGTTTAGTGGTTGGTCGAAGTCATCCGCTGAATCAGAGCCACAGATAGCGAATGTGTACTCCGTAACGACGAAAACTGACCTGTCATTCCTGCAAATTCTGTACCAGGGGAGAAATACAGAGGGGGGACTTCGAATTGACAAATAAGTCCAGCACACATACTCCACTCCGTTCTTTTAAGTCGCAACAACGATTCAACCTCTTAATAAGCGCGGTATGTATAGTAAGTTAAAACCATCGTTTGGTAGGCAGATTAAACGCCATGTCTAAGATTCTAGGTGGAGTTTCAAAAATAAAAGCTACGGGGGAGCGGATAACGGTGAATGCTGCCTGCTATTCTTGGTACACCAGCGATTGTGAATTCAAAACTCTGCTAAAATAGGATTACATGAGTATCACTCATTTTGGCGAAGCACTCGCAAAATATTGCGGCAATGACTAGACATGCCTAGGAGCAATATGTCACTTATTAAAAAGACGGTAAGAATAATTTTTATCACGATGTAAAAATAAAAGTGGAGTGATTATAGAGGGCTGTGGAACCGGATGTTGTTTGAGAATCTCGGTCATCAGAACCCCTACCGAGTAGTTTCTTGAGCGGAAGTATGCAATATGGTTGAAAAGATAAGAAGAAGATAATGTTTACAGGATCGACCAAAATCGACTTCTCGTACAGAGAATCCATCTTACCTGCCCCAAATAACCGTGAAACACTCATCTATGAGTACGAGGCCGGTAACTTAATTATTCGATCATATTTTGCCTTGGTTAATCGTTTAGTTGTTTCACATAGACGTTATGCTCCAAAGCGCTTGAGTTTGTCAGCTATGAACTAAGTGACAGATTATTCTGTTCACCCTCTACAATTTCGACTGTGGAACAATCAGACAGAACAATTTCATTGGAATAGCCATTCCAGTTTGCAGAAAAATCTATGCGCCTATGGAATGAACATAATAGTACAACTGCAAGTGCTACGAGCATTGTGATTGGGCCATGTCCTCAACGCCACTGACCAGTAGTGCATCCAGTCCCGAGTTTCTCACCTGGGAATGCGACAGGTCTCGAGACAACTAAGCAATTGACTCACGAGGCTTCCTAATGAAAAATTCGTATTGAAAACAAAACAGATTCTCGACTGCTCTTGTCCATGGTCAGGCGACCTGAGAGCAATCCAACCCTCACTCTCCATTTGGGTTGCATCAAAATGTGCCATAGATGAACCAAGAAGAGCAGAATCATTACAGCCAGTCACAAATGAACCAACTTCAAACCATTTGCCACAACATGGTCAGGCAGAAGTGGAAACCATCCCCTGATATATGGTCCTCCAATCTTGTCCATGTCAGGCGACCTGAGAGCAATCCAACCCTCACCCTCCATTTGGGTTGCATCAAAATGTGCCATAGATGAACCAAGAAGAGCAGAATCATTACAGCCAGTCACAAATGAACCAACTTCAAACCATTTGCCACAACATGGCGGGTTGCATCAAAACGTGCCATAGATGAACCAAGAAGAGCAGGCATTTATCAGAATCATTACAGCCAGTCACAAATGGACCAACTTCAAACCATTTGCCACAACATGGTCAGGCAGAAGTGGAAACCATCCCCTGATATATGGTCCTCCAATAGAGAATATGTCTATCCTGACTGTCATAAGACCGATCAATCTCTTCATCTCACACTACCGACAGTTACGATAACTAGGCATTCGAATTTAGCATGCGATTTGCGCCAACCCATGGCATTTTACCGGATCTTTCTCTGTACCAAGACTTGATGTTTATCCAATAAAAGCCCACGTGAGTACGCTATCATCCTATGGTTTCCATATGTCACAAAATCGGCAACCGCAGTGATTCAGAAACATCTAACCTGAAAATGCCTGCAACCTTTCAACTCCTTGCCATAGTTCAACCATCCACTCCACCACGTATAACAACGGGAACTGATTTGACAACTGCGTTCACTTTGACATCAAAGATATCGAGAAGCGTTTGATCAAAACTTTCACATGATTTGAATGCTGAGTGTTAAAAATCGTTTGGCGCACTGAATCTGGTGCAGACTCCTGGTGATGAAATAACTGTAATCGACCATTTATGGTGCGTTTTTCTGTCTTCTCTGCTTAGTTTCGATGTTCTCTGGCGAACCGCTAAGGAGTTGCAACTCGTGCCCTGCTCAGTCTATGAAATCCATTAGTTATGTCAATACTCGTCAATACTCTCAACGTAGAAGCTAATAAAAAGGGTACTGGATGGCCGCATTCGTCTCACACCGAAACAGTCCAGTGGGACAGCACCCGCTAACGTAGGAGTTCATGATCATAATATAATGGTTAAATCTGAGCAGTGCTTCGTACTGATTTCGAAATTAGGTGAGCTGCGTGGGATCGCGAAGTGAAACTTTCGAAAACCTCCTCATAGCTCTGTGCGTCGTCCGCAAATTTCAGCTCGAAAGACTATGCTATATATCTGACACTCAAGAACAACATGCCAATTTTCACTGATTCATTCGACAGGTCTACGGAGCAAACTTATTCGTTTTGATGGGGATGACTGAAAGACGAAGTCAGAGCAAAACATTCCTCTTTCCATCGTAAATCCAAAGCATTACAATGTTCGAGATTAAAGGTTTCCAATCACGTCCAAAATGTGTACTTCCGTGCTACCAACACAAACGTCTCTTGATATGAAGAGGGACAGTGACTATCAATACCACAGGTACAACATTCAGTGGGCGTTACCTGACCTATTCCTCTGCGAATCTTTCGACAAGCGATTTCAGGAAGTAAACCACGATTTTCTGTGGACAGAACAATCAAGGCAGCCCATGTTCATAAAACGTGGGGAGCCTGATCTAATAAATAAAAGATAGTAAAACTAGGACTCTCACGAAAGACACATCTGTCGTTCATCGTGGTCGTTGTTCTCAGAGTCCTTATTCAGATTCACTCATGTGGATCACGCGCAGAACTCATGCTATACGGATACTTATGTCAATCGTATTCGGTCAGCTATCAACACAAGAATCCACTCAGCGGAGGTTCAGAAGATTCTCTAGCATACGTGCACTAATCTGAGCGACACATGCCGTTATAAAAAGGCTTTTGTCTTCGACTGGAGAGAGTAGGAGGCTATATTTTCAATTCATGAGCCTAAAGTTATGAGATTCGCCCAAAAAGCGAAGCATGCTAGAGGGAGATTAGTTCCACTATGCGCGCGATACCAGTCGGTTTGTCAGCTAGAAACGATGTAGCAAGTGTGCTTTCTTTCCAAATGATACAGTTTCTATCACCGAAAAATGGGGGAGCATGAGAGACCGCCAAGCAATGCAGGCAAAAGCGAATGGGCCATGTATTCCAATGTCGGTAACCATTGGCGGGTTGAGTCCCGGGGTCCTCATTCAGAAAGACGGCGGTTGTCGACCCAAATGAGTTCACTGGTTAATATTTGCAGGCTTGACAGGTTGACAGGTCATACACTGTTCACCTCCCGGTTGTTTTCACTCAACGAGTGGTTAGGCGAAAAGAGTTATGCCAGAAGGTCCTCTGACATGAGTAGTACATGTCCTAACCAGCGTAACCGATGAAGCATGAGTAACTCATTCATTGTAGGCGAGTTCCTTGTTCTTAATAGCACCTGACTTATCCCAAGATTGGTAATCCGGGGTTCCCACAAAACCCGGCTAATTATCTGGAGACACCATTATTCAAACACTGACAGCGTCCGGACGTCCTCCGCTTATAGGGACCACGTTTCTGACCAGCAAAGCAGTATAAATGGCACCGCCGCGGCGTATACTCATGACAAGCGAACTGGTGTCACGCCGGCATCATAGGTCTCAGAGGTTGGCGAAGGCTGCCCTGGCCTTCCCGATTCAAAAAGTAATCTCACTCTTACTAGTCCATTAGAACTTATACAACTTCCCGTGTAAGCATGAGCTTTGAGTGTGACACAACAACACTTTGCACTTTGCAGGTGTGAAGCGCATACAAAACCATGCAGCAGAATCACTTGGGTTAATTAAAGTGGCTTGCATTTTCAAGGACATGAACAAAGGGAGCAATATCGACCACGTACTTAATGTCTGCGAGAGAACGCCCAGGATGCATTCCGATCCTCGAGGTTCCAGAGGCAGTCGGAGGAATTTCAGAAGGCACATCAATAACAAAGTTGGGAAAAAATGTGAGAGGGGGCATCATTGTCTTTCACCACTGGGCGAAGTGAACTCAGGCGAAAGATTGCTGCATATTCGTATCCGTTCATAGGAGTTCATATACAGTGTCCTCTTAAGGGCCATAAATTTGGAATACACTTGATCGCCAAACACCGTCAAAGTTTCTGACGATCGACAGAGTCGGACGCAGCATCCAGATCAAGAAGAGCGACCAACATGAGACCAAAGTGAGTGGCGCTGTTTAAGAACTGGTCTTGAGGTAAAGACACAACCTAAGGCAGGGCAAAACCCAGCTTGATTTTCAAGGACCTGTTGCACCCAATAATCGATCGACCCAAACAAAATAATGCCAGCGATCACCTTGGAGGCAACAAATACCGACCCGATGCTAGGATGGGCCCTTTTTCGTGACTCAAATCACTGCCGAGGCAGTCCATTCCACTGATATTCTGCTTTCGTCCCAACTCTTCCGTAGTATGGCAATCAGACCATCATCATCATCATTATCATCACCATCATCTACAGCATGACATGTGTTCAACACCGATGCTTCACTGCCGTACAAACATGACTTATTTGAAAGCCTTATTGTAAAGAAAAGAGTAAAGGTGAACGGGGGAGGGACTTAGCGCTAGCTTAACACAATCATTCCGAGGTGCCTACACCTCCAGACATTCACTCAGGCAATCTGGACAGAAACTGAGAAGAACGCCACTGACATCGGTTGGCAGCCATATCTTGTAGTGTTACAACCAGGTACAGTGAGGATCACGCGGTCCCCACCCTGGAAGGCGAGTAGCACCGACAGCACCCA